TAAAATTTGTTTTTTGACCTCAGAGGCAAGAATATCTATAAGCTCGTTTTGAATATAAGGCGTAAAATATGAAATATTTCCTTTATGAAGCGATTCAATATGCGCTCTAAGTTCAGGGTCGAATTTTGAAATCATATCGACGGCACTTAAGAAAACTCCAGATCCTGATTCTCCAATACGCTCATGAGAGCCTCTGAGCGGTAAATTATTTTCCGCGCAAAACAAAAGTATGTTGGTACACACTTTTAAAATATGTCTCCACTTATTTGTTTCTTGATCAATAGCCTTTTGTAAGGATGCATCTATTGTGGTCTTACGTTTTATTTTCTGTTCAAGCATTTTCCACTTAATACAATTTTCTCTATGAAATGTAGAGTTTTCGTGCTCAGGAATACGTGGACTTAAATGACGCCAATCATTAAATCCTTTTTGTGCATCAGCCAGGGCCGGCATTATTTGCTTAGTCGAGGAAGAACCGAAAAGTATACATGGGAAACAAAATATTGCATCTCTTTTTTTACTGTAAATCAACCAAGACCTGGGTACCATCTCGCCATTGCTCATTTTTTTTGTAAACCAATGTATATTAAATTTTCGTCCTGCGTCTTCAGTTGAAGAAATATTTTGACTTACTTTTCCTTGATCAGGACCTTTCTCGACAAGGAAACAACGAATGTGATCAGTTAATGGTAACCATGAAACAGGATCGTTTATGTCTAACTGGATCTTATCAGTAGCAGCTGCTTTTTCAATTTGAATTTCAGAACTTGGACTGGTGGTGATGGGTAAGGTCAAGTCTTGCTGGGATGGGTTGACTGGGTTGTCTTCTTTTTCTTTATATATTATCTTTAAATTGTTTCCAGATTTAGTTCCAGACATACCAGTGAGGGCCAAAACGTCATCATTGGACACATCTTCCTGACTGTTTTCTTGTTGTGTGACTGTCCACTTTCGTAAGGTATTTTCCATTTTTTTTGCTTCCATCTCTCTAACGCGTTTTCTCTTACGAAATTCAGAACCAGATGGACGTTTTTGTGACATGTTGTTTGTTATAGCGTGAGTCCTTAGCTTACGGTAACCGACAGGTAATATTTCTGAAAAAAGAATCGCGAATCACGCCTAGTCTGATAAGTATATAATACAGGGTGTAAGTGACACCCTAGTGAAAACTATAACCAAGGCTTTAGACCGTCATCCTTAACAACCTACAGCAAGAACCGACCTCTCATACAAAATATTCAAATTGGTCGCTGATTTTGTACGAGAAGTCAATTTTTTTTTTTTATTTCCGACAAACGTTCTTGCTGTACGATATTTAGGATGATGGTCTGAAGCTATGGTTAAAGTTTTCGCAACGCTGTCACTTACATCCTGTATATGTAGTTCGGAAAACTTCGTGTTTCGGCTATCTTACTAGCCATTTTTTCGTTATTTTTTTTTATTGTTTATTATTGAGGGATTTTCAGACAGCAAATTAAAAAATAAAAACTATCGTTCAAGGATTGATCAAAAGGTGACATGTATGTCAAAAGCAAATATACGCTTTCTTTACGTAAAAGCCGAAAAAGTAATATTTATATGTCGTTCAATCAATAAATCTTTATTTTTGACATACCACACGCATAGGGCACCATCTCTATAAGATCTTATATTCTCTTTTTTTAATTTTCTATCTGAAAATTCCTCATTAGTACTTGACTTCACTTTGCCTGATGGACCTTAAATCTTTAAATACAATTTTCTAACTTACCCAAACGAGTTTATCAACGAACAACAAATCAACAATAACCTTATTCACTCTCACACACAATTTTACTTTAAATTAATGTCATTTTATACGAATAATGACAATAGTTGACAAAACAATCAATAACTATAACCTCCGCTACGGTCGGCCAATTGAATGCGTATTAGCGATGTATCGGGGAATCCCCGAACATTGGGACGGCGGCGCGGCGCGGCATGATCGATGCGTTCAGATATTAATGAATATTGGATGCGTTCTTAAAAGGACAAGTTTACATAGTAACTATTTAGTAATTTTTAGTTTAGCTCTGTCATGTGTTTTACTTTTTGTTTTATTTTTATAAAAAAATAAAAATATTTTTATTGGAGATTTTTTTGTTGTGAGATATCATTGAAAATAACGGTTTATGTAGGTACTTTTGTTTATGTATGTCATATTGCCAGCAAGACTTAAGGTGGATATACATTTGTCTGATGTATCGTGACGTGACGACTGACGCGTCAGAACTGTATCGGTTCCATACATAAACCATCACAACACGTTAAGCAGTAGTGTGAACGTTACCATACTAAATGTATAAAACCGATAATCCACCTTTACATGTGTTGTTGTTTCAAGATCGCTTGAAAATGCGATTTAAATATAACTATAGATAGTACAGTAGGGCGCGTCTACACCATGTTCGCAATAAAACAAAATGTACCTACTAGCTACCATGCATGAGATAAAAGTAGATACTAGTCTGGTCATTTCTGCGCCCCTCCAGGGTCTGCGCCCTGTGCCTGGGCACTGCTGGCACCGCCTTAGTTACGGCACTGGATATGATCTTATTATAAGTAAATTGTGACAAGTGTAATATAGGCGTTTATAAACAATTAAAGAAAACAATCTTATATATAAATAATTAATTATGGATGGATATTGATGGAAGTATAAAATTAGTCATTTAATTTTGGAAAGATCACCTTCATTCATAACATACACTATTTTGGATGCATCACTTTTGCGTAAAAGAATTTTACAATCAGACAACCAAATGTATTTATAATCCTTTTCTTTTGCGAGAAGTCTGGCTTGCTTATATAATAATTTGCTCGAAGGTGTCAAATGATCGTTAATAAATATGGGTTTGGCTGGTCCATCCAATCCAACATCGGAGGTAGTCACGCACCGCCGCTAGCATATCGCTTTTACGCTTCCTCTGTGTGAATTTAACAATAATATTCGGTATTGCAGTGGTATCGCGATTCGAAGCGTCTGCTGAATTGGATGATTCATTCGTTTTACCTGAGTTGAAACGCCGAACTCGTTGAACATAATCAATGTCGGAGGGGGTTAGATGAAATCCTATCTTTGTAGAAATGTTGTGTAAAATATTGTGCAAATTTTCACCTTTTAAAATAGGTATACCAGAAATTTCTAAGTTGTTCATACGCCCCTGCTGATCTTTTACACGAAGCTGTTCAGTTAAAGTATTGATAGTAGAACGCAATTCAATAACATCATTTGTGAGTGAATCAACTTTGTGATTATTTTTTTCATTTGTCAATGACAACTCGCTCAGATTTTTTTGAATGTCCAACTGTTCTGCAGTTATTGTTATTACTTTTTCATTAAGGTCACGTATTTCTTGTTTAAATGTAATAAAATCATCGCGTAATGCATCCAGGGTGCCCTTTAAACTTTGACTTTGTATCTCCAGGGTAGAACTTATAGAAGCCATGATTTTATTCTGAAACTCTTGAAACATATCTTGGTAATCGCATTGGCAATCTGACACTTTTCTCTTTTTATGCATGAATAAATTAATAGTGCTTTCATCCCGTAATTTAGCTAAATCAGGTTGCGATCCAGTGCCTTTATTAGGAGGACTTCTTTTTACGCTCATATTTAATTTTGGCCGCGTACGGTACTTGTTAACTGCAATGAAGTTCGTAGTTAGCTTTTGCAAGTCACGCTGCAACCGACGACAGGATCGAAAAGCTTCTGTCCTTTTTGCACTTACGCACCTGATGGTGATGAGCTTACGGCGAAATGATACGATTTCTCACGAAGCTTATAGGCTTATTGAGATGAAAGATTATCCGTTTCACACACACGATGAAGTAGTACACTATTACTGGCTTAGACAATTCCCACTCTATTATAAAGATGTAAAGAGTACAAAACGTAATGAAGTAACTTTTAAAGAATTTTAGAAAATCGAATACGCGTCTGACCATGCAAAAGCTCAAAGACTGACTATATATGGCGACATCCCTTTCTAACTATACTCAAGACTATATCAATCACTGAGAATCTCTTATCTATTAGACAAGTCCGTCCGTCCGTCCGTCCGTCCGTGGTGCTGTTTCAGCGGCCAAACCGTAAGAGATAGATATAGAAAATGTTTAAGGTATAAGTTAAGAATAGTATGATAAGACTACAAACCGGATGTGAGTAACGTAGCACTTCCGGTTTTCGAGAAATCACGTGATTTCTATTTCAAACGAAACTACACAAAATCTCCGAAGTTCTCAATTAATTAAATACATTTTTTTTTGGTGAACATTTGGTTCACTGGTTTGCTAGTCTTTCTATAATACGGGGCTTAGACTACTACGGTTGTTAAGAGCCCTTTTACAAAATTGCGCCGCTCCCTTACTGATCGGCGCGTAGATAGATTTGCACTAAATTAAATTGCATTTTACGGGTGATGTTTCGAGTCTTATAAAATAAATATTAATGAACTAATTATAAAAATATTTCAGTAGTTAAATGATGGTAGATTAGTTAAATGAAAGTTTTTGATAGTAATTCTATTTAATTCAATATCAAAATACGAGGTAAACCTGCATTATTTTTGGGAAAACTCACGGAGGTTAGATGTTTTTTTTAATAATTAATGAGATGGGAAATCAAAATTCTTATAGATTGTGTTACAACAAAAACATATTTCTGATGTCGTAGTAATTAACGTGATTTAATTTATTGAACATTATTGAGAGATTGAGGTGTTTGAACTTATGCATATTATCGTTTTTTCCGGTAACTAGTTGCAGTTGAACGATCAGTACAAAAAACGGAAAATAGTATTTGCAAATGTTCTACATTAACTTACATTAGGAAAAATAAATTTACTGTTAAATTGGAAATAGTCAAAATCTTATCTAAGGGGTAAATGTGTAAGGGCTGTTAACGCTAAATTGTTATATTGTATACGTCATGGTTCAGAAATAAAGATTATTATTATTATTATTATATTATAATACAGCACAGTCCACAAGCAGTCGGGCCGCGTATACACATGCGGCACGTGCGGCAAATCGTACAGCGGTCGGTCCGGACTCGCGGCACATACCGCTGCGGCACATTCCTCACATTCCGCATTGGACGCGTACTGCGCGCAGTGTAAAACGCACTTTAAAACGCCTCACAATCTGGCGCATCATCTACGGACGCATTCTAAGCATGTCACTACGCAGCAGAAGAGGTATTTACAATGATATAAATTTTTAAGCAAACGAAAATTGGTTCTACTCCCCCATAATAAAGTTTGATTCTTTTTCACCTCAAAAATTGCTTAGTGACGCACTCAACTTGCGAAATTTTCGCTGGTTTCAAAACTATCTGTTGGTTGCTTGCAAATTTTATTATTGTTCAGCAGCAGAAGAGGTTTTTATAATAGTTCTAAGCAGAAAAAAATCAGTAGCTTCGATTCTGGCACGATTCTCTAAATCTAAACTTAAATTTGACAACAGTGTATCCTTGTCATTCTCTAAACAGAATGAAAAGTACAGACTGATGTTAAATTTAGTTTTAAGTCTAGGGAATCACGCCGGAATTTACACCACTGTTGTCAAATTTAATTTAAAGTCTTAAATCATGCCAGAATCGACACCACTATTAAGTAATCTGTGGGCAGACGCCTGGCTCTTGGATCCAAATGTATATGTATAAAACTCAAAGGTGACTGACTGACATAGTGATCTATCAACGCACAGTCCAAACCACTGGACGGATCGGGCTTAAATTTGGCATGCAGGTAGATGTTATGACGTAGGCATCCGCTAAGAAAGGATTATGATCAATTCTACCCCCAAGGAGATAAAATAGTGAATGAAAGTTTGTATGAAACTTTGTCAATTTTAAACCGATCGGGCTGAGACTTTGCGTGCAGGTATAAGAAGAATCATAGATGAATGTCATTGTGTATATAATACTCAGGCTTGTATTGAAATTAAAACAAAAACTGTAGTCTACACTTCAGCTCTACACCAAAGCGAAGCGAGGGCGGGCCGCTAGTTTTAAATAAATATTTGTTATTTTCCTTTTTTTACTATGCTTGTTTTTGTGTATGTGTTCAGGTTCATATGTGACGAGTGCGGCGTGAAGTTTCTGACTAAGGGGTCGCTGCAGGAGCATATTGACTTCGTTCATCTAAAGAGTAGTAAACATAAATGCGATAAATGCAGTAAAGTAAGTATTTGTTCATTTATTTTCATGTTTCATTTCATTTATTTGTGGAGAGGCACTTTATAAAAAAAAATTTTGGTCACCCATCCAATGTGTGGTCGGTACCACTGCGAAAGTTACTTAACATCAACGGTTGCAGCCGAACGCGCTGACTACCCGCGCCAGCGAAGTCCTTGTATGCAATATGGTGACTTAAATATATCAAATTTAAATTTTTGAAGTGAAAACTTCTTTAGCGGCGTTGTACACTTTTTTTTGTATTGGTAAAAAATGTTAAACTCGCGTCAGATTAAACACGTGGGCTGATCGCGTCATGACACACAATAAAATTGGAAAGGTTCAATATATTGGACGAAACATAGTAATATTTTATTTTACCGTATTAAAATAATAAGTCTCTATCTAGGACGTCCACGTGGCAGCTTTATTGCGAAGAAAATGCATTTTTGTTTACAATAGATGTCGCTAGGTGCGCTTAAATGTGTTTCATGTAAGTTGATTCCTTTACAATAAATGTCGCTAAGTGCGCTTAAACGTGATTCATGTAAATTGAATTTTCTGAGAGATATACTTTTTTAATGTAATATAAATTGTCATGTTTGTGTACGATAGCGCAATAAATAAATATTGTATTCTACCACATACATGATAGTACTTTTATCGTGCAAAATTATTCCCTAACCATTCCAAAATATCAAAAATGCACAACGTTAATATTCAACTTTTCACTTCTGCCGGCACTCCCGGAGTGCAACCCGTCGTTTTTTTCTTACATTAACAACAATTACATTTTTAATTGAAGCGTTTGTATTTGCACTAGTTTAAACTGTTGGCAGGTACCATTAATAATATAGTGCAAGCAGAAACCAATCTTTAAAATAATCATAGATTGCAATAAGTTTTTTTCCAAAGAGATTAATCTTAGATCAAAACAAAAAGGGAAGATACGGTACGCTCATACTAGCATCAAATAAAATATGATCCGATTCAACTACATAAGCAACTCTCACACACGCCTGTATATAAACATTCAATCGAGCGAGCGAGACAGAACTGTACGCTTCAACGCAGCGCGAGCGAAACGTCGAGTCTGTGTCCGAGTCCGTACGGCTGAGCTGTATTGCTGTCCTTTTCTTGATAACAAAATGGCGATTACGTAAATATCATCCACGACAATCCGTGATTATTGAGAAATCAAAATGTTATAACAGTTTTACGAATGAAAAGTGTTGCCGAGGCATTTGTTATTTGATTTTGAACTATTCGTGTTCTTTATAAAAGGATCGAAGGCATTGTTTTATCTTTATAACACAGAATATACACAATATTGTTATATTGAGTGCACATGCAGCGTGTTTGAATGTCCAATTGTGACTAAAGCGAATAGGGTATTTGACAGTATTAAAAATAAAGAGCCAATTGTTAGCATCTGTGTTTAGAATGAATATTGGCAGGAGTTTTTACTATTTTTACAAAAAAGTATTCATAGTTTTACTAAAACCCACGAAAAAGATAATTTCGTATATTACATTGTATCGTTTGACGTTTTAATAACAGTCATGTGACGACATACACTAGTAAGACGCCATATTGTCCAGAAAACGTTTTCACGGCAACTTGAAAACGGAGTTTTTGATTTGGTTATTTTCTGAAATAGACAATAGAATGATGAATATCTCTTTTCACGGACTCCATAAACATTAGTCAATAATGTGAGATCGTTTTCTAAAACTTGTCAAATACCCTGTTGTGGTCATGCACCACAATTTAAGCGGATCACTTTTTTGTTTTTTTACCCTTCACAAAAAAAAAGGTACATGACATGGTAACAATCTCGTAAATAACATAAATTCTTGCTATTTGCTAGTGCTTGGGGCACAGATTGCGTAAACCTGTACCCTTAGTACGAGTTTTACAATTACGAAAACTATGATAGTATTCGTGAGCTCGCACAAACTGTCTGTTTACCTCACCAATGGTAGTGCCAGTTAATTTTTTCGAGCATCGTTTAAACGACATCGTCCATCGTTTACGCTATAGTACGAACTTTACGGTGCATATTTTCATCTCTCTTACACACTTAGAGAGAAAAAAGGACAGACTTCTGTCTATTAAGGATGTATAACTATTAACGAAATTAACTTATACTGCCGATTAAACTTCATTACAGTTACCGCTGGAGGCGCTGGTGTGAAATGTATGGAAACAAAACGAGACGATCATAGTTTTCGAAACTATCAAAACTCGTACTAAGGGCAACGATATTAAATACCCTAGATACACCACGTGCGCTTAAAATGTGTCCCTATCAAGAAGTGCTTGAACACTACACAAGCACTTCTTGGTTCACAGTCACGCGCGGACCGTTACAAAGTCAAGATGCCACCACAGAGCTCCGCGAAAAAATGCAAAAATAATATTTATAGTATGTGAAATGTCGTTTTTTCGACAGTATCTAATCAATGTTAGTTAATTTAACGCATTTGAAGCAAATTTTGTTCTAATACTTACTATAAACTGATTTAATATAAATATTTGTGATATTCAAATGCATGGTCGATTATACAGCCATCTCTTTTCCTTGCGGTCCGTACCTGCTGTATTGCTAACAGCGCATTCAAAATTGCGCATAGGGTCAAAGAAATAAGGTCTATATTGCTCCGCATACAGTAATAAGTCGTAAAATTATACGAACTGGCATTTTTAACTGTTACAACTCTTTGACGATTGCTTTATAATTAAGATCTTATACAGTTGGCATTAAAGGTGACTTTCCATGTTTGAATAATGCCTAAATAAATTTAAGAATAATTAAAACAAAAAATATACTATAACAATGAACCTAAAACTAAAAACCTTAAAAAATAAAATATAATAACTAAAATACATTATTAAAAGGAGTCCCTTTAGGCAAGGTTCCGAAGATACTGGCAGCGTTCCCCCTTTGGATAGCTAGACTAATTCTTTGTCCGAGGTAGCTGCCAGCTCTTCGGTCTCCTGTGATGTCGACTAATCTTTTCGCTATTTCTTTAAAAAGCCTTAAAGCGCTAGGACCCCACGGATCATGGGTCTCGACACCGAATGGGACAAATTCATATTCGGAGCCTAGACCCCTGTATTTGCCTGCCTTAGCTTTTTCAGCCGCTTCACAAGCCGCACCAGCTCTGTTGTTGGTTCCATGTAGATGGGAAGGGGCCAGCGTGTCTGAACAGGTTGCATCCCATACTAGCACCCGACCCATCTTCCATGGAATCAAACTCATACCGTCCGGTCTCTTGCCATCGTCTCTTGCAATACCAGTTGGCTCAAGTAGACAATATAAAAATAAATAAATAATGCCTTATATTGTTTTTGACAGCGTGATCATCTTACGGACAGGTTTCGGGCACGATTTTGTTCGTGTTGGTGTATCTTGGGTATTTAGTATCGTTGATATAAGGGTACAGACTGGAGCTGGCTAAGAGAGGAGCAAACACAAAAGTGTATGGTCCGGAACCTATTCTGCCCATACCTCAGGCCCAAATTAAAACGTGGCTGCGTGAAAGAACTCAGAAACTACACTTGCCTGAGTGGAAAACAGGTGAAGGATGCCAACGAAAAACGCAGTTCCGGCGGCAAACAAGAGACTTGCCCGCACCCTTAACAGACTTGATAGGGACAAACTCCGCATAATTATAGGAACCCTAACTGGTCATTGTCCCCTAAACAAACACCTATACACAATAGGAGTAACAGACAGCCCCCTATGCAGAGGATGTATGGAGGCAGAGGAAACGCCACAGCATGTCATTATGGAATGCGACTTCTCCAGCCACTCGCATCGCTTCCGGAAGCTTGCAGCAGTCTGCCAAGACTGCTCTCTTCTGGATTAACCTAGGCTGGCTGGAGTAAACGGGAATGTTTCAAGTAACATGTAACCGCCCTGAAAAACTAACTAACTAACTAACATAAGGGTACAGACTGGAATTACATAATATTCGATCTAACAAAATATTTATTAGATAGGTAGTAACATTAACAATTTCACATCATAAAACTATAAAATACACTAACTATAAACAAATAAGTCTCTATCTAATTACATAATTACTATATATAAGTAAAATATAAATACTAGAACAATAAAACTAAAAACCTTAAAACATAAAATTAATAACTAAAATATATTATTAAAAGGAGTCCCTTTAGGCAAGGAACCGAAGATACTGGCAGCGTTACCTCTTTGAATGGCTAGACTAATTCTTTGTCCGAGGTAGCTGCCAGCTCTTCGGTCTCCTGTGACGTCGACTAACCTTTTTGCTATTTCCTTAAATAGCCTTAAAGCGCTAGGACCCCACGGACCAAGGGTCTCGATTTTTTGTTTTTTTTTTTTATATTCGATTGTTTGTTTGATGTTTGCCAGGTCTTCATAAACGGATCAGCGTTGAAGAAGCACGTTAACTTTGTGCACGAGAAGATTAGACCACCCCGGAACAAGATATGCGATCATTGCGGACGCGGATTTACTGTGAGTTCGTGTCTTACTGTTTTGTACATCCTGTAAATAAATAAATAAATATTTCCAACACTCACACCAATTAGCGTTGCCCCAAAGTAAGCACTGTAAGGCTTGTGTTATGGGGTACTAGGGTAACGGATAGAATACATAATAAATAAGTATATATATAGAAATATAGTATATATAGTATTTATATAGAAATACATATTAAACATCCATGACTGGAGTACAAATGCTCGTATTCATCACACAAACATCTGCCCCCACCGGGATTCGAACCCGGGAACTCTCGCGTCGGTGACACCATGAAACCCGGCGTTCAAACCACTCGACCACGGAGGTCGTCCTGTAGGATAGAGGTTCATTATCTTCAGCCTATTACCGTCCCCATTGTGGGGGTACAGGCTTTCTCTATAGATAGAAGAGGGAGATTGGGCCATGACCCACCACGCGGGCCCAGTGCGCAGACCCTTCTTTCCCAGTGGGCACTTTGGGAAAGTGCCCAGGGCCCCGCGATCGATAGCCCCCCCCTCAGATCAAATACAGAGTCCCTAGTTCCTGTTAAATCACCAAACGGAAGTCATAGGGGCGCCATTATCCTAATATGCCCAGGGTCTCCAATAGGTCAAAGACGGCACTGCCAGTGCGGATTGGTGGGTGCTAATGACTGCAGATGCAGCCGGAAATAACGGCTTAACGTGCCTTCCGAAGCATGGAGGAGTGAGAGATAGTAAATTTTTGGTCATCCATCCAATGACCGACCATTGCAAAAGTTGCTTAACTTCAACGATCGCAGCCGAGCACGCTTACCACTTGTGACATTGAGCTCCTCTTAAAAGTTAATAGTTCAATAAAAATATGAGATAATTTTAATGGTTGAAAATATTAGTTAATATTTCTATGTATTCCACACAAACACAATATCTGATTTTTTTCACGAATTGATTTGTTGTCAATATTTTTATTAATTATTCATTACGATAATTTTAGCAGTCGATTATATTTATCTATATAACATATCATAATTATTGAACAAGTCATAATCTATATATATAAAACTTAAAGGTGACTGACTGACTGACATAGTGATCTATCAACGCACAGCCCAAACCACTGGACGGATCGGGCTGAAATTTGGCATGCAGGTAGATGTTATGACGTAGGCATCCGCTAAGAAAGGATTTTGATCAATTCTACCCCCAAGGGGATAAAATAGGGAATGAAAGTTTGTATGAAACTTTGTCAATTTTAAACCGATCGGGCTGAGACTTTGCATGCAGGTATAAGAAGAATCATAGACGAATGTCATTGTGTATAATACAAGCCTGAGAACAAAAACTGTAGTCTACACTTCAGCTCTACACCGAAGCGAAGCGAGGGCGGGCCGCTAGTTTCTTATAATTTTATTTTCAATATTTCAGAAAAGCTTTTAAATTCTTCTTTTTTATCCCTAGCTACTTTGTTTAATTTCAATTGTTCATAGAAGTAGAAGTGATGATAAAGTAATATATGCAGCTGCTTAATAATCAATATAATTTAGGTATTGGACTGCTTGTCCGAGTCAATCTTTTATCAGATAGACTATTGTTTAATTTTCTTCTTCTTCCGTCCCTGTTCCCGTTATCTGGGGTCGGGTCTCCTCACTCTACGGCGCCAGGTTAATCTGTCCTGGGTTGTCCGTTTTGGCAATTGGGCTTTCTTAAGGTCTCTTTCGATGTTTGACCACCAGGTCGATGGCGGGCGGCCTCTACCTCTCTTTTGTTCCGGCAAGCTTAATGCGATTTTCACGACATTGTCTTTGTCCCGTCATGACATGGCCATACCATCTAAGGCGATTTTCCGTCATTTTGTCTGTGATTGGTGCGACTCTAAAGACTATTGTTTAATACCCCTTCTTATATTATTATGGCAGTATCTCTTATCTATTAGACAAGTCCGTCCGTCCGTCCGTCCGTGGTGCTGTTTCAGCGGCCAAACCGTAAGAGATAGATAAAGAGAATGTTTAAGTTATAAGTTGAGAATAGTGTGATAAGACTACAAACCGGATGTGAGTAACGTAGCACTTCCGGTTTTCGAGAAATCACGTGATTTCTATTTCAAACGAAACCACACAAAATCTCCGAAGTTCTCAATTAATTAAATACATTTTTTCTTTTTTTTTTTGGTGAACATTTGGTTCACTGGTTTGCTAATTATTTACTAATTTGTATTCGGCAGACGTTATCGATATTGGAGTGCCACGTGCGCACGCACACAGGCGCGCGGCCGCTGCGCTGCTCGCGGTGTCCCGCCACCTTCGCGCACTCCGCCGCGCTCTACACGCACCACAAGCTGATACACAAGCGGGAGCCACGGGGGCAGACTAGCCAGAACTGATTGTGTGTTAATAAAGACACTTTTTGAATGAAATACATCTTTTTATTTAGTAAAACCCTTACCCCCTTATTAGCAAACGAAGATTACGCATGGATTAGTTAATCCATGTTTTGTCTCTGTCTGTTGAATGACAAATGGCATTTGAGTGACATGAACAAAACACGGCGTAACAAGTTTAAGATTATTTCTTGTTATATATTAATAAGGGGGTAAGATTCCAAATGAAAATCCCCAAAGTTAGTCTCATGAACACAGAAATCAGTGAGTTGTCATTAAACAAGATTACTCACTCCGCCGCGCTCTATACGCACCACAAGCTGATACACAAGCGGGAGCCACGGGCGCAGACTACCCACAACTGATTGTGTTAATAAAGATGGTTTCCGTTAATTATAATGGCGTTTTATTTTTGATAAAATCTCTGATGGCTAGCTACGTTATCCTACAGAAGCACGTTTTTCTAGGGTGTGCCCCAAGGTTCGATATTAAGCCCGATGCTTTTTCTTACCTATATAAATGATCTTCGTCATTTTACGAGAGATTTGTGTGAGACAGTATTATTTGCTAATTCTTTGCTCTTCAGTGTTTAAAGCTAGAAGAGGAAATAAATGTTATGACGAAGTAAATCGTGCTTTTTGTGAAGTCCTTTAAAAAACAAAGTTACTTTTAATCTCGTCAAATTTTCGGTTTTTATAGGATTCTTAAAAAAGTAACTATAACACAGACAAAGTGGCGAGCTGGAGCTATTAGTTAATTAATGTTTATATCCATCAGACTCTGTCCATTGGAGTGTCACTCCGACAATATTCCTCCTTCTTGACTTTTCGGAACGTCCAAGGTTAGATCAGTGAATTATCATAAAATAAGATTACTCACTCCGCCGCGCTCTGTACTCATCTCAAACTGATACAGAAGCGGGCGACAGGGGACAGACTAGCCAGAACTGATTGTGTGTTTATAAAGACACTTTTTGATAATAAAATAAACCTTTTTATTTAGACAAACATTTGGATTCCGAATGAAAAACCTCAAAGATGGTCTCAAGAACACAGAAATCAGTGAGTTGCTATAGAACAAGATTACTCACTCCGCCGCGCTCTACACGCATCACAAACTGATTCACAATGGGGAGGTAAGGGGGCAGACTAGCCAGAACTGATTGTGTTAATAAAGACACTTTTTGTTAATAAAATAACCTTTTTTATTTAGTAAAACCCTTGGTTTCCGAATGAAAAACCCCAAAGTTGGTCTTAAGAACACAGAAATCAGTGAATTCTCGCAAAACAAGATTGCTCACTCTGCCGCGCTCTATAAGCATTAAAAACTGATACACAAGCGGGAGGCACGGGGCCAGACTAGCCAGAAGTGACAGGGTGTTGATAAAGATACTTTTTGATGATTAAACTGGTTTTTTTATTTGACAAAACGCCATAGGTATTCAAGACTTGATTAAATGGGTAAATAAAAAAATAATGCGGCGGGCAACTGCCCCCCCCTTAGCGACGCCCTTGGAAAAAGCATTAGATAAATTGAGGAGCTGGCGAACAAATCTGTATAACTAAATAAAATAAAATTTTACAGGAGCTGTGTAAAACTGAATGACATACCTACAGTGAGCTTTTGGCCCGAAACCTCCGGACTGTGAAAAAAAAATTGTTTGACCAGATGCGTAATTATACCGATTTGTTCGCCAGCTCCTCAATTATGAATGATATGAAAGCATTACTTTCTAACAAAGGTCGCTAAAACATGGTTCCAAACTCACACAGCTAAGCTTCAATACTAACGCGAAACGCACACAGACAAAACAAAATACTTTGACAAATCACATAACTGCAAAGAAATTCGGCTATCCATTCATTGGGTAAGATAAAGTTTAAAGGAAATCGCTACCAATCCCATGAATGACGAGTTGATTGCAGTTTTTTCGCCCCGCCCACTTGACGGCAGTTTGCGTTGAACCACTTTTCAGCACAATTCGTATTCCATATTATTACTAACTAGTGGCCCACCCTCACTTCACTTCGATGTAGAGCTGTAGTGTAGACTAAAATGCCTTTTCATATTTCATTCTTCAATATAAAAAAATGAAAATGGTATATTTCCCTTTTCCAAACTTCTATTGACATCACGTCACTCAATTGTTTTGCTTTCCCAGAACCTCTCCACTAACATTTGAAATTTATGGTATGGTATTAACGTTCAAATTGATTTTTAAGTATTATTACGAGTCGTTTGTTTGGGAGTATAGAAAATTGAGGTTTTTGGGCCTGAAATGCATTTTTTAAAATTTTTCTCTGCGTAAGAACCAACCTCGTACTTCAAGGAATATTCTAAAAAAAGAATTATCGAAATCGGTTCAGCTGTTCTCGAGATTTGCGCTTAGCAACACATTCAGCGATTAATTTTTATATTATAGATTCGCTGGCAACAAGCTATTAAAATGCGGTCAAGGAAAGAATGTAATCCTGACAGGTCAGTTCCTTAAGTTAATAGAATAAAGTACACTTTCAATATACTTAGTAAAAAAATATAATGATGTGAAATACTAGCCAGTTTACGATAAATACACACGGAGAATTGCTCGGGATGCGTACGGTAAAAAATGACATAGGTCCTTCCTCGAAGGGCGCTGGCGCCGTACTGATTGGAGAGTAATTAAGCGCTGGTATATATTGCATTTTACGGCAGAAATCGATTGTACGTGTGCCAAAAGACGTTTCACATCAAAAAAAGAGCTCTGAATATAAACTCTACAGAACTATACAGAACATACACGACATGTCAGCATCGCATCCTTTCGTTGGGCGCATTGTAGTCCTGCTAGCGTATTCGCAAACTTTTTTGATATTTACAGTGTGTAACTAAAGTGAAAAATGCATATGGATGTTTTTCAAGTATCTTAATGGAGTTATAATAAAGCACCTACCGGTGAGAGAATAATTAAAACAACTCTTAGATAAATGGAATAATTTATTTATACAATTTAGTGAAATCTTTATACAATGTTGAGTATTAAACAAAGGACGTATACTAAGTCAAAAGTACTATTAACCCCTGTTTGTGTAAATGGCAGTTTTCTGCCACGAGTTGAGAAAATTATTTTAATTTTTAATATTTTGCATTTTATCATATTTAGTAAAGGTTTTTAATTTACACATCTAATATATAGACAAGTTTGTAGAGAAACTATTCAGGATTGATTGAAGACATAAATGAAGCCTGGATGTACAGTAGAATTCGAATAATAAGAGGATAAACGTCCGAAAAATAAAAATAAAATCCGGCCGTGATAAACAAAATGGCGGGCTAACACAGACAGGGTTTTGAGCGTCATTATGCTTACACAGTTCACGGTTATATATTTCTTAGTAGAGAGTCAATCATTGTTTCAAGTTTTCTCTAACAGATGGCGCTATTCTTACTTTTTCTCTTCCACCAAAGTGACGTTTTTTCTGTTCGGGAATATTTTATGCACTCGTTTTTTGTGTGTATATAGAGAAGCGCTCTGTCTGAATGTACACCCGCAAATTTCGCAGGATAAAGGCCTTTCTCCCGTGTGAATGAATTCGTGTTCGCGTAGTCCTTTTTTGTCCTGTAAATACATTAATAAATAGAAGACACGGTATAGGATGATGGGTGATGTGTTACATATCATTTGAAAGGTCTACTTCAATACAATAATGTCTACTATGGCGCTTGCCCTGATACGTTGTCGAAACGGAGTTATATAATAAATATTAAAAAAAAGTTTTTTCTTTTTAAATTGTTATACATTTTAGTATTTACATTATTTTAGCAGTTTTGTAAGTATTAACAATAGGCATTAGGTTAGAGCGTTGATATAGTTTAAAAACAAAGTATTGCAGCGCCTTCCGACTTAGTAACAATACAACCTCGTGAGAACTATTTAATGTTTATCTTTAACGAGAACTTTAATAAAAGAAAATGGTAAAAAACATAATTAAAAAAAACAATAACTAGGTTGTTATCTTGAACGGTAACCATAGGTGTATATAGAGGGGGGGCCCCCAGGATGTTGGACTACCGATTCGAAATTCTATAATCTCTTATCTATTAGACAAGTCCGTCCGTCCGTCTGTCTGTGGTGCTGTTACAGCGGCAAAACCGTAAGAGATAGATAAAGAGAATGTTTAAGTTATAAGTTAAGAATAGTCTGATAAGACTACAAACCGGATTTGAGTAACGTAGCACTTCCGGTTTTTGAGATATCACGAATTTCAAACGAAACCACACAAAATCTCCGAAGTTCTCAATTAATTAAATGCATTTTTTTTTGTTTTGGTGCACATTTGGTTCACTGGTTTGCTAGTCTCTTATCTATTAGACAAGTCCGTCTGTCTGTGATGCTGTTTCAGCGGCCAAACCGTAAGAGATAGATAAAGAGAATATTTAAGTTATAAGTTAAGAATAGTCTGATAAGACTACAAACCGGATTTGAGTAACGTAGCACTTCCGGTTTTCGAGAAATCGGGTTTTGGTGAACATTTGGTTCACTGGTTTGCTAGTACTAATCACTAACTTCAGATGACCCCCTGAAAAATAACCCTAGATACGCCAATGACGGTAACACTTAATAAAAAACTTTTTTAACAAAAATAAAAATAACAAAAATAGATTTTAAATATTAATCTTTTTTGGTACATTATGTTTTTATTCATTTATATTTTTATGTATGCAGTTATCCAGAGGCAGAGTGAAAGAAACACATTTTGGAGTAATGAGGGTGTTTATGAAAATTTACGTCACCATTTGGCGCCACTGTTACGTGAGGTCTTTTGTATGAAGTTTTTAGCGCCAACTCCATAGACCAGATTCATAGACTATGAGATCGTATGCGATTTGACGGATGATTAGACCTTTCGTCTCAGTACTGCCACCTGGTGCCTGTCATTCTAAAAAACCCTCAATACTTTATTCATTATCTATTATAAGGATGTTATTCAGGAACAGTGCAGGAGCGACGAATCCGGCGTGCCTGACATAGCCTAGATACCATATACTCGTAATTGATAATATGTGAGCACAAGTTCCTATGGTACGTCTACCGGTTAGACATGTACAATAATGTTGAATTATAATATTGTAATTACTAATAAAACCAGTGAACCAAATGTTCACCAAAACCTGATTAAAAAAATGGATGCGTGTACTTATGTAGGCGCGTGAGAAGTTATCCTTCTTTGGCATCGTTTAAAATTAGTTTTTAATAGCATGCAAATAATTAATGACAATAAATTAATAAAAAGTCTGGAAAAGGACACAGTCAATAAAGTTCAGTTTTAATATGAAAAAATAAATAAATAATCAAAATATTCAATTAAAATCGCTACTGAATATAATTTATTAAACATATGTGATTTGCACTTGTATGAAACTCAAACACGTATTCCGAATATACAAACTAGAAACATGTGGATAAATATTATAAATATGAATACCTATAACTGTTACTTTATTACAAAAAATAAAGATGTGGTTTTTGGTTCTACTACACCAATGGTCAAGAGATGGCGCTGTAGTCTCCTGAATCGCGCTTTGGTTCCGTTGTTCCAGATTAATAAATACTTTTGATAGGCCTTCACAATGCAGTCGTTAGCACCCACTAAATAGAGATTCTATTACTATTTTGTTGGTAGATTTTCTTAATGTGCGGTAAACACAAAAGTAAAAATAAAATTTTGTGTTACAGTGATGCGCGCGCATCTTAAAATTTCACTCTCATCATTTTTTCATAACGCGCCTAAAGAAGTATAACTTCAAAAAAAAAATTGAGAACTTCCGAGATTTTGTGTGGTTTCATTTGAAATTCGTGATTTCTCGAAAACCGGAAGTGTTACGTTACTCAAATCCGGTTTGTAGTCTTATCAGACTATTCTTAACTTATAACTTAAATATTCTCTTTATCTATCTCTTACGGTTTGGCCGCTGAAACAGCACCACAGACAGACAGACGGACGGACTTGTCTAATAGATAAGAGATTATTCGGTAAGTATAATAATGTAGTAATAATAGTAATAACGGTTCCGGCAAAAATGGTTCTGGTATTTTCTGGAAAAAATTAAAACGGACAACAAATATCAGAATGCCGCCATAGTAACTAATATTCTACATGAAAAGAGGTATTCAATGATATATCACGCATCGCTACTGATACCAAACACCAATTGGATACTAAAATGCCCGTCCTACTTTGTATGGAGAGTTAGTCAGTCTCCAAATTTTTATGGCACAAAATTGTTACTGAAGACGTTTGAAAAATACTAGAATTTATTTTATCCCCGTTTTTTTTAATAATTATTATAATATTTGTTTCTTAGCTTTTCACGCACATCACTCATTAAATAAAACTAGTTTTTAACTAAGGTAGCTCGACAAATTAAATAAAAGTTTTATTCTGACGACGAAGCCTGTAAAGGCTACGAAACGTCAATAAATATATAAAGTTTCGTGCATTAACCCATAAGAACTAGTTTTATTTAATTTAAAATGACATAGTTATTGATTGGCAATTTTACTGACAAGTTTTTTATGCAATGTTTGTTGTCAAAACATCAAATATGTTCTATTCACTTACTACACACTTAAGAAACAAATATAAGGGTCTAAAAAAATATAACTAGAAAAAATACCGCGCGGACCAGGCAGGACTCGAACCCGCACCCTTCGCTATCCGGGCGAATGCACTGACCAATTATGCTACCGCGGCCCTGACGGTCGTGCCGAATTCTCTCTAGCCTATCTTAAGCTGCAAGGCAGCAAGCAAGGAAGGGGTCACCTACAATGCGGAGAGATGCTGCCTTGCAGCTTAAAAAAGGCGAAAGAATTCGACACGGCCCGTCAGGGCCGCGGTAGCATAATTGGTCAGTGCATTCGCCCGGATAGCGAAGGGTGCGGGTTTGAGCCCCGTCTGCTGCCTGGACTGCGTGGATTATTTTTTTTGCAATATTTTCTTTAGATTTGAACATCGAGTAAAGTATAAGGATGTCGATTCTGTACCCCTAGCACGAACCATTATCGAATTCGAATAGTTTGCAAACTGAAATGTCAATGTCAAATATGGAAACTTGAACAGCAGCGGCACAAAGTACGTAACGAAAACTAAAAATCAGTACACATTTGACAATGACATTTCGGACTCGCAAACGATACAAATTCGATATTGGTTCGTGCTAGGGGTACTGATATGATTCTCTTATTTTGAAACTAAATTTAACATTAGTCTCTCCTTTTCATTCTGTATAGAGAATGACAGGGATACATACTGTTGTCAAAGGAGGTAGCGGGTTCAGGGGGGTCTGGCGGCCCCCACCGAATCTGGTAAAATCGTTCCAAAAATCTTGAAGAGGGTTGAAAAACAAGCAGTATAAGCTTTTTACCGACATTACAACCCCAAATGGAAACACAGTAACGGCGAAAAATATGTTTTTTTGTGATTTTTATTTTTTTCAACCAGTTTAATTTATTTTTAAATGGTTTAAATGCAATTAAAGATTTGTGTTTGATGTGTGGAAGTCCCCTGTATTTTTTTCAGATTTTTTGGTCAAGTAAAAACATGTGAATTTTAGGTTTAAATGCGAAAAAATCGTGAAAAACGCGTCATTTCCAAGATTCAACCCTCTTATTTTTAGGGTTGTTTTCATTTTCCCGAGGGGTGCTGTATAGTATAGATAGCGGCAATCGCCCTCTTTTGAATGCAGGCAATTGGACTCAATTTGGTCAATTCTGATGAGCGGGGCGATTTTTTGAAAAAAAAACTTAATTTTCAACTTTCGGTAAATTACGGCGCGTACTTGGTATAATGCGTCTTTGCTATAAAAAATACATCTCTATAGGGGTTTTTGAGGTCGCTGATCACGATTTTGATGTCAAAAAAAATTTTTGACGACAAATTCACCCATAAATATTTATTAACACAGGTTTGATAATGTAAAAATATTAATGAAAGATTTTTTTAATTTCTCTCAATTAACTGTTTTTTAGTTTTTAAAAAAATTTTTTGACATCAAATTCGTGATCAGCGACCTCAAAAACCCCTATAGAGATATATTTTTTATAGCAAAGACGCATTATACCAAGTACGCGCCGTAATTTACCGAAAGTTGAAAATTCGAGATTTTTTCAAAAAATCGCCCCGCTCACCAGAATTGACCAAATTGAGTCCAATTGCCTGCATTCGAAAGAGGGCGATTGCCGCTATCTATACTATACAGCACCCCTCGGGAAAATGAAAACAACCCTAAAAATAAGAGAGTTGAATCTTGGAAATGACGCGTTTTTCACGATTTTTTCGCATTTAAACCTAAAATTCACATGTTTTTACTTGACCAAAAAATCTGGAAAAATTCAGGGGACTTCCACACATCAAACACAAATTTTTAATTGCATTTAAACCATTTAAAAATAAATTAAACTGGTTGGAAAAAATAAAAATCACAATAAATCATATTTTTCGCCATTACTGTGTTTTCGTTTGGGGTTGTAATGTCGGTAAAAAGCTTATACTGCTTATTTTTCGAGCGTCTTCAAGATTTTTGGAACGATTTTACCAGATTCGGTGGGGGCCGCCAGACCCCCCTTAACCCGCTACCCCCTTTAGGTTTAGGTTTAGAAAGTCATATCAGAATCGACACCAAATGGATTTATCATACAGGTATTTTTATTAAAATATTCTCACCCGGAACGCTTTGCCGCACTGCTGGCAGATTTTGTCTCGCGCGTTCTCTTTGACCCCGTCGTGTGCTCGCCGCACGTGACGAGTTATACAGCGACGGGTCGCGAGTGCCTTCCCAACAAAAATATTAATAAACTAGCTGTCCCAGTGAACTTCGTACCGTCATAAAAAAATAGGGATTGGTGGTAGAAGGTTGAAAATTAGGGTTGTATGTATTTGTGTATGATGTATCATAAAAAAAATTAAAAAAAAAACTACCTAAAATTGAAAAAAAAATTAGGGGTGGATTACCGCCCGCGTGGTGGGTCGTGGCCCGCACTCCCTATTCCATCCATAGGGAAGGCCTGTGCCCCAGCAGTGGGGACATTAATAGGCTGATGATGATGATGAATCACTCACCTTCCCACGCACGGGGCACTGGTGTTGGTAGTTGTTTGTGTGTGTGTGTGTGTGTGTGACTGTGTGTCTCCGTCAGTGTTTGTGTTTGTGTGTATATCTCTCTCTCTCTGTATGTGTTGTTGAACACCTTCCCACACACGGGGCACTTGTGTTGCGTCTTCTCAATGTGTTGGTGGGTGTGTTGTGTGTATCTCTCTCTCTCTATGTGTATGTGTGTGTGTGAGTGTGTGTTTGTATGTGTTTTTTTATAAATAGGTCCGGCAAATGACTCCACCCCACCTGATGTTAAGTGAAGGTGAAGTCCAGACGCGAAGATGGCTGATACAGCAGTTCTACCTGCCACACCAGCCATCCTCACCTTGCCGGCCTGCATGTTGCTTCTTCACGCCTCTTTTAAAGGATCCCAGGTTGTAAGAAGAAGGGAACACGTGAACAGGCAGAGTATTCTATTTACGGATAGTGTGCCAAAGAAATGAGTCATCAAATTTCTTTGTACACGTTGGAATTGTTGCCACAGTTAGGTGGTGACAACATAGGCACGGTAATATTATCTATACAGTATTGTGACTCCACCCTGTCCTTGAAAATAAATGCCTACAGCCGAGCGCTGCGTTGGCACGCGGTAGGGCCGCCAGCCTACAGTATTTTATGTAGTTTTGTTTTTAACGCGAGTGTAGGTAGATTACTCGTTTGTCTCTTTTTTCATCCTAACCACTTATTTATATATTATTCCAGATATTTTGCCCGATGGAAAAACCGAAATACCTAAATATTAGAAACAAATAACGTACTAGTAGATAGGTATAAAAAAATATTCTATAAAGGTAAGACACCTTTCCAATATTTCAGGTAATTTAAAAAATGATATCTCTGGGTGTGTTGTTGAAGAGTTCAAGCAACCAAAAACAGCAATTGTGCTGTTGTACGATATTGATCGTTGTTTGTTCTTTTCCATACTAAATTATGTAGGTATCTACTTAATTAAATCAAATATTTACAATACAAAACGCATGTTTAAGCACGGCTAACTGCATAAAAACAATTCAGACCGTTCGGTCGTCGTTGCGGCGCGGCGGCGCATTCGCGACTGGGTGCCCGCCGAGAGCACATCGAACTCGAATGGCGTAGGTATGACTCGCTTTCCGACCGTTTGTATGAAGATAGAATACTGTATGATATTATTACCGTGACATAGGCCAGCGCGCGGTCCTCTGATGGAAAGGGTATGTGTGTGTGTGTTTATGTCTGTCTCTGTCTATGTGTGTGTTTGTATTTGTGTGTGTCAATCTCTCACCTTCCCACACACGGGGCACTTGTGTTGCGTCTTCTCCATGTGTTGGTAGTTGACGTGGTCCCTCAACTCCCCGCGCGAACGGTAGCCCTTGTCGCACATTGTGCATTTGTATCTGGGTACCACCGAAATTTGAACGCTATTTGTTTATATTATAGGGTATTTGACAAGTTTTAGAAAACGATCTCTCGTTATTGACTAATGTTTATGGAGTCCGTAAAAAGATGGATATTCATCATTCTGTTGTGTATTTCAGTAAAAATAACCAAATAAAAAACTCCATTTTCAAGTTGCCGCGAAAACGTTTCTCTGGACAATATGGCGTCTTACTAGTGTGTGACGTCACACGACTGTTATTAAAACGTCAAACGATACATTGTAATGTCACTTTAAATGGAAGTTTACTTGCGTGTGACGTCATTTTAGGCTCCGCCAAGCCCAAGCGTTTTGGGTCACGTGACAATGGATAAGAAAACTATTATCTTTTTCGTTAGTTTTTAGTAAAATTATGAATTTTTTTTTTGGAAAAATAGTAAAACCCCCTGCCAATATTTATTCTAAACACAGATGCTAACAATTGGCACTTTATTTTTAACACTGTCAAATATCCTATTGGAGATTTTTTAGTTAAAAACATTTCATTTTAATAAAAATACAAGTATGTATAAGTATTATATAAGGTGATCAGGAAGCTGGGTGCAAATGTATAAAGCACATAGACCATTCAGAAACCTTCGAGCTACATTTGTCTTAGACAAAGTATGGTTTTTCTTTATTCCAACTAACAATGTTTATGAATTTTGGTAAAAACCCAAAATTGTACAATTAGAACGAACGAATTCAGGTTATAATTTTAATTTTTTAAGCTTTACGCTTGCTCCTTTTTTTTTATAACGCAGGTAAAAAATCTTTTTACAGACGACGGCGCCTTTAAGAGGCACGCCGCCGAACGGACCTCACACCTGGCTCCCGCAAGTCTCACGGACCCCCCCAGTGGCTGCCCACCGAGGACCCCGCAATTCTTACGGGCGCTTTACGGCATAATATCCGCTAAAAAAGTCCTGCGAATACTCTACAGTGCTTAGCGCGAAGCCGCGGGATCCCCGGGATTCTTCCGCGGCTCCGCACCCAGCAGCCTCCCGGCCTAGCCGGGGCTCCACCGGCTCTCCCGCGGTATTTCGGGGACCCCATTCACTTTCGCAAAATCCACATTCGCATTCGCAAAATCTCTGCGAATCTTTTGCGAATATGCATATTAGAAAAAAACAATTTGAAGAAGTTGTAGTTCTGCCTTTCCTTGAATATTCATTGTTACACAGTTTACATTTAGCTCGTTCAGCATCGCAAAGTGTGAAATAAGTCCATGTTTCACTAGAATTCGATTTACTCATGTTAATAAATCACTATTACCACTCACAATCACTAACCTCAAAATTCACTTGCTTTGTTTACGGAAAGACCGGTGCGAGCGGAATGACACTGCAGTCGGATGAGTTCATATCAACTCGGCAATTCGAACGAGACTGCCACCATGCCATAGACAATAGGCGGCAATTTAAAAAAAAAATCATTTTTTCACCTTATTTTGACTTATTATCCAAAAAGCACCCTAATTTTCAATCGAAAATTCTCACGTCAAAATATCTGCTTTTTTAAAAAAGTTGGGGTGTTTTTTGTTTGTTGAAATCTCTACTTTCTGATGGTATAAAAAAAATATACATAGTATATATAAAATATATATAAAATTTACACTTTAATTACTCGAAAAACGTAAGATGTGCTTTTTCGATATTAAGTCAAAATAAGGTGAAAAGATGAATATTTTAAATAAAAAAAAATACTGTATTTTTGGGACATACAAAGGTAAGTTTTCAACAAATTTCGTGAAAAAATAAATTTTTTTGCAAAATATAAAAATCAAAAACCAAAAACTCGGTTATTCGCATTTTTCACATAAATTTTGAGGTTATGTGAAAAAAGTGTCGATACAAAAGTTGTAGATCTTTTTATTACCTACAACTTTGCCATTTAACTTTTTTTCATAGGACTTGCAGTTTTACCGGAAATCGAGATTAACCATTTTTTACCCTTAAAAACTCACCCCCTCCCCCTTCCCGACCTCCGATCGCCCGTAATTTATTTTTCCTTTCATTTTTAGGGTTCCGTACCTAAAAAGGAAAAAACGGAACCCTTATAGGATCACTTTGTTGTCCGTCTGTCCGTCCGTCCGTCTGTCAAGACCGTTTTTCTCAGGAACACGTAGAGGTATCAAACTGAAATTCATATATAATACTCAGGAGTACTGTCCCTTGGAGCTGCGAAAAAATCAAACTTCTAAGCCAAAGCAATCAAAAGATACAGCCGTTTATGTCGCAAATTTTCGAAACTCGCACGGGAATCAAAACCTACAGGGTACTTCCCGTGAACTTAGAATCTTGAAATTTGGTACGAAGTAACGTCTTATAGTACAGATAAAGGAAAAATTGCGAAAACCGTAAATTCTTAGTTACATCCTATAATATTTTTTTTTTAATAATTATTAAAATATACCTAGAGGTTTGTACGGAACCCTCGGTGCGCGAGTCCGACTCGCACTTGGCCGGTTTTTTTGTTATATTCTCTACCTTTTCTAATGGGTTTCATCCTACTATAATTTTTTTTGGTCTCAAATATTATCGACCCTGGTCTATATCGCGGGTAACACTAAATAATAATAGTTGGTATCATTATTTGCAAACTTGACATTAGCATGTGTCATTTTTGTCTCCGAGATTAAAGAACGGATTTCTAGAAAAAAATCACGCAGACCAGGCAGCAGACGGGACTCGAACCCGCACCCTTCGCTATCCGGGCGTATGCACTGATCATTATGCTACCGCGGCACTAATTGTCCGTGTCGAATCTTTTCTGGTATTTCTTAGGCTGCAAGGTAGCGCCATCTCTACGCATTGTAGGTAACCCACAATGTCAAATGAATACCTTTACAAGTATTCAACATTTGAAAGAAGAAATATACAAAGAGAGGGGTCAGTACTAAGGTTGCTTAGGTTATTAAATGCTAAATTATTTGCAAATACAAATAAATACAAATACAAGTGCTTTATTTCCATATCGTATCATATTAAATTATATGTAACTAATAAATATTAATAGGAAATAGGAATAGGCACAGCGCAGCTGGTTTTAAGCCTACCCATCGTCAAATTTTCTGTGGTTAGTTAAATATAAATTCAATAGGGTATTTGACAGTGTTAAAAAGAAAGTTCCAATTGTTAGCATCTGTGTTAAGAATGAATATTGGCAGGAGCTTTTACTATTTTTACAAAAAAAAAACATAATTTTACTAAAAACTAACGAAAAAGATAATAGTTTTCTTATCTTTTGTCACGTGACTCAAAACGGATTTTGGGTTGGCGGAGCCTAAAATGACGTCACACGCAAGTTAACTTCCTGTTAAAGTGACATTACATTGTATCGTTTGACGTTTTAATAACAGTCGTGTGACGTCACACACTAGTAAGACGCCATATTGTCCAGAGAAACGTTTCCGCGGCAACTTGAAAATGGCGTTTTGATTTGGTTATTTTTACTGAAATACACAACAGAATGATGAATATCCACTTTTTACGGACTCCATAAACATAAGTCAATAACGTGAGATCCTTTTCTAAAACTTGTCAAATATCCTATTAAATGTTTCAATTACAATGTCAATTTATTTAGTTAATTCATATTTGAGTAACATAGGCCATAATTTATCGAGTTAAAATTAATTTCACCGTGTAAAGCCGAGCTAATAAGATAGTAAATAATAAAATCTAGCATTTTTCAGATTTCAAGTTACAACTTACTTGAGTATATCTACAGCAGCGTGCGCCTGAGTGTACTTTAAGTGATGCTCGTAGGAAGCTCGGCTCACGAAACATTTGTCGCACTCCAAGCATTTAAACCTATGGAGGACTGTAGTTAATAAAACAAATTCATCATCAGCCTATTAATGTCCCCACTGCTGGGGCACAGGCCAGATTGGTCAAATTAATTTAATGTCATTAGAAATCAGGTGTTGTCGTCAATGTCCTGGGTTCGAAGCCCGGTAAGCCAAATGGTTTTGAAGTGAAATTTCTACTTCTTTTCTGACAGAGTGTAAATGAAAAGATGAAACGGAAATGCGTTACAAGCGTCACACGACTATATATATATATATATATATATATATATATATATATATACTAGCTGACCCAGCGAACTTCGTACCGCCATAAAAAAATAGGGGTTGGTGGTAGAAAGTTGAAAATTTAGGGATGTATGTATTTTTGTATGATGTATCATAAAAAAAAATTTAAAAAAAATATCTAAAATTGAAAAAACAAAATTTGGTGTGGATTACCCTTAACATTTAGGGGGATGGAAAATAGATGTAGTCCGATTCTCAGACCTACCCAATATGCACACAAAATTTCATGAGAATCGGGTAAGCCATTTCGGAGGAGTTTAACCACAAACACCGCGACACGAGAATTTTATATATTAGATATGGAGCAACGCACGCATGCCACACACACACACACTCATATATATATAGATGTAGATTATTTACGAAAAGAAGTTTCACTTCAGGTGTGTGACCGTGCTCACATTTTTTTTAATGATAAATACAAGTATTTGTTCTCGACTCATGGCTCTTTATATTGCATTTCTGAAAAAATATGGTATATGTATAGTGCAACCAAGATCTTTATGAATATGAGTGACAATTCAGGGAGCGCCACTTGCCACTGTTTACACAAATGACATATGAACTATATAAATAGATAAATAAACATTTCCAACACTCACAACAATTAGCCTAGCCCCAAAGTAAGCACAGTAAGGCTTGTGTTATGGGATACTAGGGTAACGGATAGAATACATATACTGTACATATATAAGTATATTTATATAGAAATACATATTAGAACATCCATGACTGGAGTACAAATGCACGTATTCATCACACAAACATCTGCCCCCACCGGGATTCAGACCTCTCGAGTCGGCGACACCATGAAACCCGGCGTACAAACCACTCGGCCACGTTGGTCGTCAAGAACCTATAACGTTTACAAAGATGGCGGCGTTAGTTTCAATTTTCGCCACATTATAATGAATGAATTATGGTATTTATTTACTCTTCATTGTTTTACAACAAATGGCGGACTTAATGCCACATGGCATTCTCTACCAGTCAATCATCAGGCTAAGCAGACACATGATCATAATTACCTGTCTCTTTGCGAATGTATTTTGGAATGTATCTTCTGTAGATCGACACGCACCATCTTGTGGCACACGGGGCATTCTTCACGAGGCGGCGGCGATTTATGCATCCTGAAGTTTTTGAATCATCATCATCATCAGCCTATTAATGTACCCACAGCTGGGGCACAGGCCTTCCCTATGGATGGAATGGGCCATGACCCACCACGCGGGCCCAGTGCGGATTGGTGGGTGCTAACGACTGCAGATGCAACCGGGACCAACGGCTTAACGTGCCTTCCGAAGCACGGAGGAGCTCGAGATAGTAAATTTTTGGCTACCCATCCAATGACCGACCACTGGGAAAGTTGCTTAACTTCAACGATCGCAGCTGAATGCGCTAACCAGTTGCGCTATCGAGCTCCGAGTTTTTGAATAGATAAATAAAATAGAAAAAGCTGTCTACGAAATTAAGTCACCTTTGCAATGGCCGTTCATTACTTAATCATACTCAACAAGCACTTATGAATGTTTAAAGGCTACGCCATCAATTCGTAAATCTACGGCGGGAGATCTTGTACTGAGAAGAACCGGCAAGAGACTCAGCAAGGGCTGTTTTTTCTCCCTGTTTTATCATTTACAGAGTCGTCAAGTTGAAAAATGACTTCAGAGATGATTCATAAAGTCACCTTTCATTACATAATGTGTAATTATACATTAATTGTTCACCTGCATTTTGATTGCTGTGTCACACAGTATAAATACAAATACTGTTATTTACCTATATTAGGTGTAACTAGACATTTACATCTTAAATATCAAAGTAGTTAGGGCAGACTCATCTCCGCTGGCAACACCCGTTCAAGAGCATGACGCATGAACCAGCATCGCTTCGCTTGCAATTAGATGGGTGACCGAAAACTTTTCTATTTATTTACTCTTTATTGTTTTACAACAAATGGCGGACTTAATGCCACATGGCATTCTCTACCAGTCAATCATCGGGCTAAACGGAGAAATTATGCGGTAAAGTAAATAAAAGCCTAAAAAGTAAATAGAGAAAAAAATATCGGCTGCATCTACAGTCGTTAGCACCCACCAATTCGCATTGGGCCCGCGTGGTGGGTCATGGCCCAATCCATCCCTACTCCATACACAGGGAAGGCCTGTGCCTCAGCAGTGGGACATTAATAACTAGCTGACGTTGTATATGATAAAACATTTTTAATTAATAAAAAAATCTGTAGTCAAGTCAATTAATTAGGTAATTGCAGCATTAATAATAATAATAATATTCTTTATTGATATACACCTCACAGGACATACAAAACATTAAACATGACAATGAAAACGTACACAATAGGCGGCCTTATAGCTAAACAGCAATCACTTCCAGGCAACCCATGACAGTGAAATAAATAAATAAGAGGAACATAAAGGGGGGTGTAGCAGGTATGGCAAATTTTTTTTTTTTTACCAACACACCAATTAGCCTAGCCCCGAAGTAAGCACTGTAAGGCTTGTGTTATGGGATACTAGGGTAACGGATAGAATACATATATTGTACATATATAAGTACTAGCTGACCCAGCGAACTTCGTACCGCCCTAAAAAATAGGGGTTGTCCAGCGGACAAAATTGTGAAACTAAACCATTCTCAGATCCCCTTGAACACACACAAAAAATTTCATCAAAATCGGTCCAGTCGTTTAAGAGAAGTTCAGTGACATACACACTCACAGAAGAATTATATATATAAAGATATTTATATAGAAATACATATTAAACATCCATGACTGGAGTACAAATGCTCGTATTCATCACACAAACATCTGCCCCCACCGGGATTCGAACCCGGGACCTCTCGAATCGGCGACACCATGAAACCCGGCGTACAAACCACTCGGCCACGGAGGTCGTCAAAATAAATAATGAATAAAAGATGCAATAGATATATACAAAGAGAGAGACAAGAGAGAGGTAAGACTTAAAGTTGGGAAAGAAAATAACCTCTAACTTGATTACTAAACGAGCTTAGAGTGCGAGCCATTACGCAGGACACATGAAAAATGTTCATCCTCTATTTTACCTTTTTATAACACTATACCCTGTCTGCGCGTCGCGCTTCGCGCTCCTGCATTGCGCAGTCGGGTAAAAATGATCTCTATTACACAATTCCATCTAAATCGGTTCAGCGTGAAGAGGTAACCCACTCACACACTTATGTATGCGTTAAAGTATTTTGGTAAGAATTGGTTTCTGAATCAATTTCAGTAAAAGAAAGTATCTAAATTATAATATCCGAAGAAATAATTAAGTTATATTTTTATTTTTTTAAGAATTTAATGGCAAGCTGCATTTGTATCTAAAAAAATTATGAGAAACCAATCCACGCAGACCAGGCAGCCCAAATCAAACCACGGGACTCGAAGCAGCAATTAGAGATTTAAAACATCTCTAGAAATTTTCTTTCGATTTACATTTTGCTTAAGAAAATAGCTTTTTGACTATAATTGCCAATAATTCTTTCAAATGTTTAATACTTGTAAAGGTATTTATTTGACATTCTGCTGGGTTACTTATTGTAGGTAACCCAGAATGTCAAATAAATACCTTGTATAAAGTGAGCAAAAGAGATGGCGCTGCCTTGCAGCCTAAGAAATGCTAGAGAAAATTCGACACGGCTATCAGGTCCGCGGTAGCATAATGGTCAGTGCATTTGCCCGGATAGCGAAGGTTGCGAGTTCGAGTCGAGTCCCGTCTGATGCCTGGTACACGTTGAATTTTTTCTAGTAAAATTTTCTTAATTCATAATAATTGAATCATCCTAAACAAAAGAATATGATACATAACACAAGATAAGTGTTATTTTTAAGAGCCCTTTCACATTTTTTGCAAAAAATCGTAATTTTTGAGCGCCTCGTTTAACCCCTTAGAAAAGATTTTGACTATTTCCAATAGATGTAAACAGTAGATTTATTCTTTCTATTGTAAGTTAATGTATAATATTTGCAAATACTATTTTCCTTTTTTGGACTGATCGTTCTACCGCAGCTAGTTTACGGAAAAAACGATAATATGAACAACTTCAACCGCTTGAATCTCTAAATTATGTTCAATAAATTAGATCAAATTAATTACTACGACATCAAAAATATGTTTTTGTTGTAACATAGTGTATTATAATTTTGATTTTCTATCTCATTCATTATCAAAAAAGACATCTAACTTCCGTGAATTTTCCCAAAAAATAATGCAGGTTTACCTCGTATTTTGATATTGTGTTAATTATTAAAATAGAATTACTATCAAAAACTTTCATAAAACTAATCTACCATAATTAAACTACAGAAATATGTATATATTTTTATAATTAGTTCATTAATAATTATTTTATAAGACTCGAAACATCATCCGTAATATGCAATATTATTAGTGCAAATCTACCTGTGCGCCGATCAGTACGGCACCGGCGTAATTTTGTAAAAAGGCTCTTAAATAAAATAATTTAACACATTGAGATATCTCTGGTTAAACCGATTTAATAAAAATAGAAATTACTAAAGAAAATATAACTAGAAAAAAAAACCACGCGGACCAGGCAGCAGACGGGACTCGAACCCGCACCCATCGCAATCCGGGCGAATGCACTGACCAATTATGCTACCGCGGCCCTCACGGACCGCGTCGAAATCTTTCTAGGCATTCTTAAGCTGCAAGGCAGCGCCATCTCTTCGCATTATAGGTAACCCACAATGTCAAATGAATACTTTTACAAGTATTAAACGTTTGAAAGAAGAAATAGCAATTATAGTTATATTTTTTATTAATTTAAAGCATGTAACTGCTTGATGTTTAAATCTAAAGAAAATATAACTAGAAAAAAATCCACGCGGACCAGGCAGCAGACGGGACTCGAACCCGCACCCTTCGCAATCCGGGCGAATCCTGGTCCGCGTGGATTTTTTTTTCTAGTTATATTTTCTTTAGATTTAAACATCAAGCAGTTACATGCTTTAAAATAATAAAAAATATAAATAGAAATTACTGTTATTAATTCCTTTGCATATTTTTCACAAACTACTTTCGTTATCGCTACTCACATTTCGTGTCGGCTCAAATTGTTCCTGAAGGCGAATCTCTTCCCACAAGTTGCACACTTGTACCCTTCCTTGTGTGTTCTCTGTATATGCTTCCAACGCTGATTCTTGTTACTAAAACAATTAAATTAAATAGGGTATTTGACAGTATTAAAAATAAAGTGCCAATAGGGATGATGACTAATTTTTTTTTCTTCGTTTAACAGGTAGATTATCAAAAAGTATTGGATACGTATTTTTTCTTTTTTCACATAATATAAACATTGCAGAGATATATTGATTTGAAAAATCGCATGACGTCACGTTTGAGTACACTTATAAGTGAAAATTCACTCAAAAGTGACGTCACGAGCCCCTACTCCCAAACTTTGACGCGCGTAATTTTTTGGTTGATTGCCCAAAGAAAAAAAAAATGGTTGCCTGTAAAGTCGGTTTTACGGGCGAAGATTTTACGTGACAACGTCTTTTTCTCGGTAGAATATTTATTGATATGAATATAATTAAATTGCACAATAGGAACAAGGAATTGAATGAAAATAAGAATTGCACAAATTTTAACTATAGAAATATATTTTGTTTACTAAAACATTGTACATGTAAACTTAAACTTAACACGAGAGACTCATCGTAACGTTACCGAGCGTTACACTTTTTCATAAGTGACTCCCAGCCGCAACCTAATTTAAGACGTTGTCACGTCAAAAATACGTGTCCATTATTTTTTGATCATCTAACTGACGGACTAAATAGAATTTCGTTTACTGTACCCCGTCATCACCCCTATTGTTAGCATCTGTATTTAGAATGAATATTGGCAGGAGTTTTTACTATTTTTACAGAAAAAATATTCATAATTTTACTAAAAACCCACGACAAAGATAATAGTTTTCTTGTCTATTGTCACGTGACCCAAAACGCTTGGGATTGGTGGAGCCTAAAAGGACATGACATGATAATTTTAAAAACAGTCGTGTGACGTCACACACCAGTGCGACGCCATATTGTCCAGAGATACGTTTTTCGCGGCAACTTGAAAATAGAGTTTTTGATTTGGTTTTTTGTTAAAGAAATACACAACGTAATGATGAATATTTTTATGGACTCTATAAACTTTAGTAAATAACGTGAGAGCGTTTTGTAAAACTTGTCAAATATCCTATTAAACCATAATTTTTATTTTTAAGAACACTGTAATGCTCGATGTTTAAAGCTAAAGAAAATATTACCAGAAAAAATTACATGCCTAAAAATAAAAATTATTACTATAATTGCTATTTCTTCTTTCAAATATTTGATACTTGTAAAGGTATTCATGTGACATTGTGGGTTTCCTACAATGCGAAGAGATGGCGCTACCTGGCAGCTTAAGAAAAAAATTATAACTTATTTTTAATCAATAATATTATGGATTTCTTAACATGTTTATGTGATGACATATGACGATTAATTGACATGTTTAAATGGAATTAATGTTTTGGAATGATTAACAATAGTGTGACCAATTACAATATTAATATAAAATTATTTGATATTTGCATGCTAATTTAGCGAATCATGTTTGAGTACCATATGTATTGTAACATCTTTTTATAGTACCATGTTTCTTGTAAATAAATATGAATATGAATATGAAAGGCTAGAAAGAATTCGACACGGCCGTCAGGGCCGCGTTAGCATAGTTGTTAACGCCATCTATCGTAAGCTTGCGAAAACACATTTACCTTATCCCTTCCTCTAAACTCACCTGTTGTCGACTTCGTCCGCGGCGCTGCCATCGCTGCAATTCGAACCAACGGACGAAAAAAGGGCAACGGCCTGTGTGTGCTCTGATCGCCGAGAGGAGACACCAAGAAACTCCCACGACGAGAAAAAACCGCGCTCCGGAGACGCTTTTCGCCTACACATATTTCCGCCCCGGGGCCCGCGAACATCCCGCGAACATTAGTGTAAAAAAGAAATAGTGGCGCGCCACAGGCGAACATTTCCAGGACAGGAAGAACAGGCGTCAAGGAACCAGCCCAACAAACCAACAGGTACCCCCTTTCCCACAGTTTCCCTCTAGTTTTTGTGTTTTCTTCTTGTATATAATCGCACATCCGCGCCGGGAATTTGTTTTGTTTTATGGCGTGACCATTATTTAGTGGTCCTTCAGCCGCATTCATCCACCCGCCCTTACTGGTATTTACCCAGTAAGAGTATTTATCCGCTCCAATATTGTGCATATTATATATATTTTCGCTTATTTTTCGTATTATAAGCCCGCAACGCATTTTCGTTCTCATAAAACGAAAGCACGGTGTCGTGGCTCGCTCATATATATATCTACCGCCCCATTAGAATAAAATTATTCATCTAATAGGAGAACAATACAAATTATTATAATACCCATATGTATTTATATAATTAATTAAAGGTCCCAGTAAATACTTAACCATTATAAGTATACCTACATTTCAAAGTACCTACATATTTGATATTTGTCACATTTATTTACCCGTGATTGGATATTTTATAAAGGTGCATAGAATAAAAACAACAACGCTTACATATTTAATTACTTACGCATTTGTCATTTGTTTGCATTCATAATGGACCCGAAAAAGGATTCGCCTAGTACGCAAAATCAAAAATTACTTATGTTGGAAGCTAAGCGTAATGCCTTATTTGAATGCATGCAAGAGATTTATGACTTGTCAAATACACTAGGATCCGGTAATCAAGGCGTGGAAATTTTCCTCGATGCTAGTAGTAACATTGACACATTACGTTCTGAATTTAAAAACTTATTAGATGAGTACAACAGGTGTTTACTAAAAGAGAAACCGAACTTTGCAGTAGATTACAAAAGCTTTGTCGCATTCGAACGACTATACGGCCGGGTTAAGAGATTGGTGACCATTCATAGCCGCGATCTGCTTGCCGAGAAGAAGAGTGAAGGTGCACCGCGTAAAACGCGTCCCTCCTTACCACCGTTAGAACTCGTGTCGTTTGACGGAGACATACGCAAGTGGCCTCTGTTCTTCGCTAGTTATAAGTCTACTGTTCACGAAAACCCATCGCTTTCAGACGCTGAGAAACTTTATTATTTGTTAGGTAAAATTTCGGGTAAAGCTCAAACCGCTTGCGCCGGGATTACCCCCTGCGCAGAAAATTATGATTTAATTATTCAAACGCTAGTAGAAAAGTATGAGGACAAGCGTACTTTAGTCAGTTCACATATAAACAATTTATTAGATTTTAAACCCATACAAAGCGCATCGGTTGTAAATTACGATGCCTTTCTTGAAAATTTCGTAAATTCAGTCCGCGCACTCCAAAATATCAAGGTAAACGACCTTAGCGATATTATTGTTTTGCAGTTGGCGTTGAGAAAATTAGACACTGAGACAGTACGTAATTTCGAACAAAAAACCGATTCTTCCAAACTACCTACATTCAATGATTTAGTAAATTTTATGCAAAATCAGTCAAAAATATTAACTCGTACGGCAGTAGCCACCTACACCGCCACCTGTTCGAAACAAACAATTGGAAATATTCGCTCGCGCTCTAATATTAAGAATAATAATAATTCGCCGCCAAACTATCAATCATATATTGTTAATTCTGTTGTGAACAGCGCCCGCGGTTCTCCGGCCTCCAAATGCATGTGTAGTAATTTCACACATCAACATTTATTTAAATGTTCAAACTTTAATAAATTATCTCCTTTGGAACGTTTTAAAGTGGCTAAAGATTTAAACGCATGTATAAACTGTCTTAGTACAGTACACAAAGTTTCGGCTTGTAATTCAAGTATGTGTTGCCGTGTGTGCAAATCGAAACATCACACACTATTGCATTTTTCCAACATAACAACGAATCCAGGCGCACCGGTGACGTCAGCCGACACAGCTGCATCGCTCACGCGCACACAGCCTACGTCGTTGACTAATACAGACGTAACGCTATGCGCTACATCTAGTGATTCATTACATCGCTCCAGTAAGACACCGCGTGACTGTTTCGCTGATACTACGCAATGCACACCGCACACAACTATATTATTAGCGACCGCGCAAGTTTATTCTTATGACTTGTCTCATAACAAACACACCGTTCGTGTTCTGTTGGACACCGCTTCGCAAAGCCATTTTATAACTAAGCAATGTTGCGAGCGTTTAGGTATACAAACTAACGAAATAAAGCGAACGTTAATCAAAGGTTTTGGAGGTTCCGAGAATATCGTAAATAATTCCGCTAACTTTAAATTTTCTTCTCGGTTTAATGCAAATATAAATTTTAATGTAAATTGTTTAATTGTTGAGAAAATCACTGAAAATTTACCTTCCGCTGTGGTTGACAAATCTTCGTTGCCACATTTTCTCAACTTGCCATTGGCAGACGAATCATTTTCGATACCTGACAAAATAGATGTTTTGATAGGCGCCTCGTTGTTTCCGCATTTATTATTAGCCGATGTACTCCACCACAACGGCTCGGCACCCCCCGCGATTAATACAGTGTTGGGTTATATTATTATGGGTTCCGTACCCACCGCTTACCACCGCGCCGACGCGTCGTCACCGCTCACCTCGTGTTGTGCTATCACCGCTCCCGAATCTATAGAAATGACTTTAAAAAGGTTCTGGGAATTAGAAGAAGTACCTTCGCCGTCCATTCAACGTCCGGATGACGTTGAATGTGAAGAATTTTATTGTTCCACCACTGTAAGGGATCCTACCAGTGGCCGATACGTCGTGGCGTTACCTTTTCGTGAGGACGCTTATTCCCTCGGGAATTCCGAGTTCATCGCTCGCAAGCGATTTTTGTGTTTAGAGCGCAAGTTAGAAGCGTCTCCCAAATTGCGCACCGCTTATGATGCCGCTATCAATGAGTATATTGATAAACAATATTTATCTCCCGCTCGCGCGGAAGACCCCACTCTTCCGTCGTATATTATTCCGCACCACGGCGTAGCCCGTGATGACAAACCGCTGCGACCCGTGTTAGACGCGAGCTGTAAAACGTCGACTAATATTTCGCTCAACGATATTCTGCACGGTGGCCCTAATCTACAGGGCGATTTATTTCAAATTATTTTAAATTTTCGTCTACATGCTATAGCTATGAGT